ACTGAGGTGTCGGTGTTGATTCTACAATACTGTATTTATTCGTAATTTCTCCGACAACGTGTCTTAATGGAAACAATCGAGAAGAGAATTTTGCGTTCCGTGCTTTTCTAAGATAAAGTTCTTAAGTGATACATAATTATCACGTTAAACCCAAGTTTTTGAACAGTGTGTCTCCCAGTGGCAGGAAATGATGAGAAATATATAAGTAACGAAGAGTTATCGTTTTTTAAGCAAGCTGCCTGAATTCAACTGACTTAAAGTTCAACCTGAAATATCTTTGCAAGTGAAGCTGGAGTTTGCTCAATTATTTCTCGATTTAAAATGAACAACTATCGTTAGCTGACGTAATTTGAGCTTCTTCTTTTCGTTAAACATCGTCTTAAGCATCATTTTCAAATTAAATAACAGCTCGAAGCTTCTTTTTCGTACAGGCAGAGTATTCCATTTTATTTCAAGCATGCACTAATGCAAATTAACCCTTTGCACTCGACTGTTCCTTCTAAGGGACTGGCGTTGTACGATATAATAATGTAATAGCATAACACCTGAACAAAGTAAAAGCTATAATAACGACATGGGAAAAATAAAGAATTTCAGAAGAAGAAATTCCCAAGGAAGCAATCGTAAGTTGATTGACACTCATTCGAAATAATTAACATAAATTAGACTTCTCATTGCTTCTTACGGAAGTTTACAAAATGATAGACAAAAGATTGAAAGTATTGTATGTATCATTAACTCTTGTATGTTATAGTTGTTCTAGAAAATGCACGTTGGCGCTTTAAATCTGAACGACATCACGTGTTAAAAAGACATAATCAACAAAATTTCATGCTAAATGCCATTTTAACAGGTTGATTATTCCCAATGCTGTGTCATTTTGTTTGAAATGATATTACTTCGTAAATAAATTGCTGGTAAGAAAAGGGCAAACTGTTAAATCACTTGGATTTAAATCGAGTATCTTGTTTCACATGAACGTAATCTTGAAGTCAAGTCACCTGACTCAAGAGAGATTAACTTGAACGAGGCTCTAGAAATACATGCAAAAATTAGAATGAAGACAATATTCTAGGGTTAACAGGAATTATTCGCAAACCGTAAACGGAGAGTTTCCGAGAGTCACATTCTGATTTCTAAATTAATCAGAACGCGGGTGTTAGACATCGAGAATTCAGTACCTCGAAATTACTTGAAACGGAACGTATCTCGTTAAAATCGAATTAACTTGGAACTCGATAGTCGTTGCCACTTAGAGTTACCGGCTATCCATGGAAAAGAGGGGCCGACGCCGCGATTAGGCACACCTGATGCCCCCGGCCTAACAAATGGACTTGACGCACCCCCTTGACAACGAAACGTGGTGGTTTCTTTTTTTCGTCCTTCATCGAACGGTCGCGCTGATCGATCAGGCTAATGAGCTCTTCCCGGGGACAATGAGAGAAATCTGTCCGGAGCTCGTCGATGTGAGAAATAATAATAACAATTGTAATGATGAAACGAGAAAAGGAACAAGAAAGAAGCACGAGTTCGAGTCTCGGGTTCGAGAGCCAGGGAGCAAAAGACAAAGAAATGTAGACAGAAAAAGATAGATAGATAGATAGATAGATAGATAGAGAGAGAGAGAGACCTTGTCCCGATGACGCAGAGACTGATAAAATAGTAACGAGGCCGGCAATAAAGAGGATACTCGCGAAGAAAGGGAATCGTTTTCAGGGAAACAAACCCCCCCGCCCGAGAAGGGAGGGGGGGCGACGAGAACGAAGCCCAGAGGAATATCGGAAAGAGTGGAAAGTTTCCGGAAGCCGGACAGAGGATAAGAGGGATAGATCCTGGGTGATGGAAGGACAGCTGGGCAGAATCACCGCGGAAAAGTAATCTCGGCGTCCGCACAAAAGAGGGGTGAAATAAGTATCCGCGGGCTAGAGAGAGAGAGAGAGAG